AATGACTGTATATTTTGTGGGCGAAACGCAGCAGTCAATTGCGCACAGCAGTGTCCCACAAACAGTCGTGGATTGAGTGACAGGACTTCACACTGAGGCAGAGTCAGCTTCACAATAGGTATGGCGGGCAAAATGCCGCGCTGATCACCCCCGGGTTTACTCATTCGGTGCCTCGAGCAGCTCCAGTCTGGAGATGGGAAGAGTCAAATTGCAATTGATTGACAGCGGACTCCAGCCATTCACAAGTGCCTGGAGTCGGGCTGTCAGTGTGGGGGTGCGGAGAAACGGGGAAGAAACAAAGGAATGGGAGGAGTCAAATTGTAATTCATTGGAGCCACTTGCGATTGGGTGGAGCCCAAATATTCACAAGCGGCTGCAGGCTGTCAATCACCTCGGAGCCACCGCTAATTGGGCTCCTTCCCATCCAATGGGAACAGCAATGGGAGGGAGGAGCAGGCAATGGCGCTCCTCTGCTGGGCGGGAAGAATCATAGAATATTACAACTACAACAACAGGATTACATTTGTGTAGCGGCTTTCACGTCAGGTGGACCTCCCAAGGGGCTGGACAGTCAGCGTTTCGGAACCAAGCTGGGGTTCAGGATGGGGGAGTGGAGTGCAGGGGGGGCTCGGAGGGTGACCGAAGGAAAGGTCAAAGAGGAGGATCTTGAGACAGGTCTTGAAGGAGGCAAGGGAGGGGGCGAGGGGGAGGAACAGCAGGATGGAGTTCCAAAGGTTGGGGGCAGAGTGGCTGAAGGCCCACCCACCAATGGTGCGGTGGGCAAGGCAGGGGACGTGAAGCAGGCCGGAGCCTACTGAGTGGAGGGAGTGGGCAGGTTGGTAGGGGGTTAGGAGGTCGCAGTGGTAGTGGGGAGCAAGTCCATGGAGGGCTTTGAAGGCGAAGACCAGGATCTTGAACTGTATCCTCTGTGTGTTGGGAAGCCAGGGGAGTCAGGTGAGGATGGGGTTGATAGGGTCGCAGAAACTGGGGCTGGAGAGGACATGGGCTGCAGAGTTCTAGATGATCTGCAACCTATGGAGGGAGGAATTGGGGAGGCCAACACGTTTGTGTAGTTGAGCCTGGATGTTATGAATGTGTGTATGAGGGTTTTGGCAGCTTGGGGTGTGAGAAAGTGTCGAAGCCAGGCGATGATGCGGGGGTGGGGGAAGGCAGAACAGGACATGGCATGGATGTGGGGTAGAAAGGAGAGTTAAGAGTCAAACAAGACCCCAAGGTTCCGGACTGGCTTAGCAAGGTGGAGTGTGCATCCATGAATGGTGATGCCATCAGTGGCTGAGGTTGGAGGCACTGACGGGAGCCAATCAGGAGAGCCTCAGTCTTGTTGACTTTCAGTTGCAGAAAGTTAGCTCTCATACAGGATTTGATGTCTGACAGACATTCTGTCAGGACAGAGGTAGTCCTGGAGTCGAGAGTGGAGGCAGAGAGATAGAATTGTTTGTTATCTGCATACGTAAAGAAGTTGACCCCATGTCTGCGGATGATGTCACCAAGAGGGAACATATGGATATTGAAGAGAAGGGGACAAAGGACAGAGCCCCAAGGAATGCTGCACGAGAAGGTGCGCGGATTAGAGAAGAAACCATTAGTGGAGATGAAGTGGAGGCGGTGTGAGATGTAGGATCTGAACCATTCAAAGACAGAACCATGAAGATTGAGGTGAGAGGAGAGGTGGGGAGGAGGATAGAGAGGTCAATGATATCGAAAGCAGCAGAGAGGTAAAGGAGGACGAGGAGGCAGAGGGAGACCTGGTCGCCAATGGACAAAATGTAATTTGTCACTTTGACCAAAGCTGTTTCTGTGCTGTGGGCAGCTCAGAAACCCAATTGGAGGGGTTTGTGAATGGCGAGAGAGGAAGGAGCGAAACTGGGAAGCAATGACTTGTTCCACAACCTTGGAAAGGAAAGGGAGGTTGGAGATAATGGGGGTAATTTGAGAGCAGGGAAGGGTCCAGGGAGGGCTTTTTAAGGATAGGAGTGATGAAGGCTGTTTTTAAATGGGTGGGAACGGTGCCTGTGAGTAGGGGGGGAAAAGGAGATGGATCTGGGAGGCAACGAGAGGGGTAGGGATGGGGTCGAGGAAGCAGGTGGTTGGTTTCATGTGGATTATAGTGGTGGTGAGAGAGGAGGGGGAGACAGGTTTGAGGGTGTGAGGGAAGGAATGGGTAGGGGCCGGGGCATGTGAGGAGGGAGGGTTAGTAGTCAGAACTGCAGAGGCAGCTGAGTGGATCCACTCGACTTTGGTTTTGAGGAAGTTCAGCATCACCTCGCAGTTGGTGTTGGAGAGGATGGCGGAGGCGTGAGAGGGTGGGCGGAGGATCCAGTTGGTGATGGAGGAGCGTAGAGTTGGCCTTGACCTCCAAGATTGTTGAAGCAGTAAGTTTTGATAAGGTCCAGCCAGATCTGTCAATGGGCTGTTATGTTAGGTTTAAGTCTGGTGTATTCAGTGACATGCACCTGTGTTTGTGAATGGAGTGGCGAGAGAGGAAGGAGCGAAGCTGGGAAGCAATGACTTCCCAGGAGCGGAGTTGGCTGGTCTACCAGGGTCACTTCGTGAGTAGGAGGTGGTCCGGGAAGTGAGGGGAGCAAGGGCATTGAGAGTGGTGGAGAGGGAATTGTGGAGGAGAGTGACCGAGGAGGATAGGTCATTGCAGGAGGAAGCCCAGAGGGAGAGGAGTTCAAATGACTCCAAGGGAGAGGGGGAAGGGATTGAGGAAGTAAGGGAGATGAAGTAATGGTCCTACCTAGATGGCTTTATTGGTCAATCGGGTGGGCATGGATGTGGGTGGTGGAGTGGATGGGGAGGGAGAGATTGGGAGAGGAGTGAAAAGTCAGCGGAGCTAGAGCGCGATAGGGTGAAGTGCAGGTTGAAGTCGCTTAGGATGAAGAAGTGTTCAGAGCAGAGGGAAGATAGGAGGGTGGAGATGTTGGGGAGGAAGGTGGGGGAGGGTTGGGGGGGAACGATAAACAAAGAGGATTTTGAGGGAAAGGTTGAAGGAATGGCAGAGGATAAGGTGCTCAAAGGAGGGGACGGTTCTGGAGGAGTAATGGGATAGGCCGAGCGGAGAGTGCGAGATGAGAGCCACACCACCGCCACAGTGGTTAGGTCGTAGGGTATGGTGGAAGGTGTAGCCGTGTGTGGCCTCAACCAGGGGGAATGTGTTGCCTGGGGTGAAGCAGGTTTCGGTGAGGGCAAGGATATCAATATTTTCGTTGACAATGAGGTGAGCGTTTTGCTGGAAAGGGAACGGACAGCACAGCACAGAAGGAGGCCTTTCAGCCCATCGTGCCTGTGCCGACTCTTTGGAAGAGCTACCTAATCAGTCCCACTGCCGGACTCTTTCCGCCTTGTCCAAAACTGGTATCAGCCCAGAGGGAACATTTCAGCCATGACCAATGACAGACTTTAGCCAGCAGAACATTTGGGACTGTTCTTTTGCATTTGTGATCCCTTATGAAGTAAGTGATCCTGCTTCAATTCCCTTATCACCTTTCTAGACTCATGTGATGCTTGGTCGTAAACTAAATTTTCAGCAGTCATAACTTGGTCTGATAGTTCTAGCACTGCATTTGCTTAATAGCTCTTTCCCTTTGCAGTTACCTTCACAAGGTCCTGCTTTATGGATGAGTGGCTTGCATACTGCAGCAAGCTGGCTATGTTTTTAGAGAACTGGCTAACACAAATGTATTTTAGAAACCACCACTATTCCCATTTTACATTGAGTAACAGAACTTTGGAGCTTAACAAATAATTTAATCAAATCTTAGAATTCTACAACCAGTTCCACTTCTGAGAAAAAATATTTTCTCTATGCAAAAACAAAATGACATTTGTATAGCTCCTTTCACGTTGGGAGGACATCCCAAGGCGCTGGACATTCAGAGTTTCAGACCCGTGCCGGGGGTCGGGGAGGGTGTAGGGCAGGGAAGCAGGGAGATCGAAAGCACAGTCGAAAAGGAGGGTCTTGAGATGGGTCTTGAAGGTGGCAAGGGAGGGGGCGAGACGGAGGGACTGCAGGATGGAGTTCCAATGGGTGGGGGCAGTGTGGCAGAAGGTCTATCCGCCAATAGTGGGGCAAGTGAGGCGGGGGATATGAAGTAGGCCGGAGCCCGCGGAGCGGAGGGAATGAGCAGGATGGTAGGCGGTTAGGAGGTCACAGAGGTAAGGGGGGAGCAAGACCGTGTATTGTTTTAAAACAAAAGGTTCTAACATACTTTTCTTCACGTGAAAAACTATATAAATTGTATTGTATATAGGGAACTCAGTATTTAATAATAATCCTTGAATTAGATATAGCATCTATGTCAAAACATCTCAAAGCGCTTCAGAATAATTTAATTTACAATTTAATTTGGAGGTTTTGTTGCCCAGGACACTGGGATAGACTCCCTTCTTTATCTGAATAATGACATGCATTCTTTAAAATCCAGCTGTTTAAAGTCTCATCTGAAAACCTCCAATAATACTGCGCTCTTCCAACACTGCACTGGAGCATCAACTTCAAGTACAAAAATCTGACATGGAGCTTGAACTCACAATCTTGATGCTTCAAAACTAGATTGACACTGCAGTACAGTACTCTGGAAGTATTGTTTTGCTTTGTGTGCTATCATTCAGATTGGACGTTAAATCATGGTCCCCTCTGTCTGTTCACGTTCAGGTGGATGTTAATGATTCCAAGACACTATTTGAAATAAGAAAGAAAATTCACCCAGTCTCCTTGCCCAACAATCCCCTAGAACACATTGTCATTTACAACATGGCTATTTGTGAATCATTGCTGTGCACAAATTGGCTGCCATGTTTGCCTACCAATATATCGTCACTTTACAGCAATTATGGATGAAGTGCTTTGAGACATTTGAACACTAGATGTTGTTTCATACGCAATGATCAATCTTCTTCATAGCGTTTGATAAAAAAAATGTGAATCAGAACAGATTGTATTGTAAACTTAATAAATGTAGAAATAAAAATTGCAATTTACAAGAACAGCTCTTTATTCCCAAACATCAAAAATCAGATCCCACTCTCTTCAGTGCAAATCTGTAATGGTTTTTAAACATTATTACTGTTGTAAACCACTGTGGTGAACTTTTTATTGTGTTAATTTACACACATATTGGTATAACTGTTCTGTAAAAGCATATGAAGAAAATTTTTCTAGGACTCTAGTTCTTCCAGCTTCTCCCATTTGTGCTCGAAGACTGGGAATGTTTATAAATTTCTCCATGGCTTCCGCAAAACAGTTTGCCGATGGTTCGCAGAGCAAACCCGTAACACGGTCTATTACAGACTCGAGAGGACCGCCTGAATTCACTGCTATGACTGGACACCTTGTGTACATGGCCTCCAAGGGAACAATCCCAAAGTGTTCATTGCTCGGTGTGTACAACACACAGGTGCTTCGATGGAGAAGGGAAATCTTCTGCGTGTCTGAAAAAGACCTGATAAAAGTCACTGCATCAGACAGATCCAATCTCCTCGCCAATTCCTTCAGCTCCTTGTAATGCTCAACGTTTTCCAAAACCCTTTCGTCATAACCGCCTGCCATGACCAGGTGGACCTTCTCCCACTCTCCAGAAGTCAACCTGCCACGCAGATCGTGCAACGCCTCCATGGCCAGAGGCAGGTTCTTCTTCCTTTCGTACCTGTTGATGGAAAGGAAGATGAACTTCTTCTGGGCTGGGACCAGACCGCTCAGGTCAGCGGGGTCATTGTCAAAGGCGGCGAAGTTCAGAGATGGGTAAAGGACATCAGGGTCCAGGTGGCTCAGAGACTTGAAGGTTTGCTTGAAGACGCCGGCTGTGAACTTGCTGTTGACTACGATAAGATCGGCCAGGCCGGTGGTGTACTCCTCCAGCCAGTCGATGGGGAGCCGGTACAGCCTCTTGAAGATGCTGCTCCTCTGGGTGAGGAGCTGGTCGGGGAAGTGGCAGTAGAAGAGCACTTTCTTGGGCCTCCTGCACAACTTGAGCACGGGGATGCAGGCCGACACCTGGTCGCAGAAAACCATGTCGAACTCGAGGCCGCTGAGGAAGACCAGGCAGCAGGTCAGGTACAGCATCCGCAGGCAGGCGAACAGGGCGTGGCCTCGGCCCAGCACAGAGCGGGGCAGCCAGTCCCCGGCGCACACCACCTTCAGGCCGCCGCTCGGCCGCGTCTCCGAGAAGCAGTGCTGGGGGTCGTGGTGAGCCGTCCAGATCTCCACCCGGCAGCCGCGGGAGCGCAGCGCCAGCGCCGCGTCCACCACCAGCCGCTCGGCGCCGCCGATGCCCAGGTCCGGGTGCAGGAACACGGCGGTCACCATGGCCTCCGGTCAGACACCGCGCAGGCGCAGTGCTCTCACTGAGGACCACCCGGGAGCACCCCCCTACCACCAACCCTGGCCGGGCTGGCCTCCAGCAAGCCTGACTGACAGAAATGTAGCGGGAGCGATCCGGCCGCGCGCTACTGCACCCAACACTCCAGTGAAGACAGGTCCATCAGGTCTGGTTTTAAACTTTCTGATACATATCGGTGTGGAAGCCCTTTTCTACTTGTGATTTTTCTCTCAGGCGCCGCTGGCCGTCGGGGTCCGGAAGAGGTCCTGAGTTGTGTTTCGTGGCTGCTTTTAGGACTCGTCAGCAGCCGCGGCCCCGCCCCTTCCCCCCCTCCCCCTCCCCACCTCACCCGCCGCCTCCATCACCGCCGCCGCCGTCTCTCTCGCGCTCTCTCTCTCTGTGTGTGTGTGTGTGCAGCCCCGCAGTGGAACGTTCCCCGGACGAGAAGCCTCGCCGCCGCCGCCGCCATGGTAACCATTGTGCTCCGCGCCGCGCGCTCCAGGGCCGCCCTTGTCCAGGCCCCGCGCTGCACAGCACAGCACTGCACTGCACTGCACAGCCTGAGCCACACCGGAGGCCCTGCTTACTTCAGCCCGTCTGTCACCCTTCCATTTCACACATAGCGCCTTATCAGCGCGCCGAGACGCCTCAGAGCCCTGCACAGGGGTGTTGGCTGTTTGGTTGTAAGCGTTGGGCTGTTTATTTTGCCAGAGAGCCGAAAGGAGCAGTTGTTTCGGGGGTTGTCTGGTCAGGGCCACGGTTCCGGGATGGCAGTCAGCAAAAGCCACGTCAGCAGTAAAGCACAGGCAGCGGGGGGTTGTCCTCTGTAAGGTGTTCGCTCTCTCTGCAGGGCGTGCAGCACTGGGGACACTGCAATCGTAGCTTGAAGGATCATTTAATAATAATAATAATAATCCTTGCATTTTGATATAGCGCTTTTCACGTCGGGAGGACGTCCCAAAGCGCTTCACAGAACACACTGTAAAGTGAATTGATTGTATATTTGTGGGCGAACGCGGCAGCCAATTGCGCACAGCAATGTCCCACAAACAGTCGTGGATTGAAAATGACCAATTTTATTATTGTTTTGTTTTGGAGGGATTATTATTAGGCTCTGTGTGGAGTAAGGAAACTTGCCCAAGGTTTCGCCCTCTGCCTGGAATTGAACTCAGGTCTCTCGCTTGCAAAGTGGGTGCTCAAACCACTGAGCTACAGGACTCCACAATTTCTTCAAAGTAGAGAATTTCTTGCCCTTTTATTATGTGAAATACAGAATTCCGCCACATAGCCAACCTCTGCCGCGCGCTCGAATTCTGGTACAAAAAATAGGGGTAGTTTGTAACTATTTACTGTACAACAACTTGCACTTGTATAGCGCCCTCCACGCAGGATAGCGTCTCCCGGCGCTTTAACCCTATTAATGAATGGGATTTTTAGGTTTATTTATAGTCTGTAATTATGGAAAGATAGAATTCTGCGGACTACCTTTGGTCTCCCATAACTATTACGTGTGGTACAGTACAATTTAGGTTTACACAGCACCTTTCACATCAGGAGGATGTCTCAAAAGTGCTTAAAACTGCTGACTGGCCACCCGATTTAGGGACAGGAGCTGAGGGGATTGAGGAGAAAAAAGAATAACTGAAAGCATGGTCAAAGAGGTAGGTCTTGAGACAGTCCTTGAACGAGATGAGGGAAGGAACAAGTCAAAGGGCTCTGGGTTGGAGTTCCTGAGAGCAGGCACAGAATGTCTGATAGCCCACCCACTGGCAGAGAGGCTGAGGAGATGAAGCAAGTTACTGAGCAAAGAGAGCGGCCGAGTCAGTCGGGTTGAATTTGATGTTCTCCACCATAATGCCATAGGCATTTATGGCACAGAAGAAAGCCATTGGACCATCGTGTCTGTGCTGACTGTTTGAAAGAGCAATCCATTCAGTCCCATTTACCTGTCTTTTCCTCATATACCCTGCAAACCTTTATAGATATCTATCTAATTCTGCTTCCAGCAGGACATTCCACATCCCAACAACTCTTGTGTGTAAAAGTATACCTCTTAATTGCCCCCTGTGCTAAGTATCTTAAATTGTTGCCCTCTAAACACTAAATCACTGACATGTGGAAATAACATTTCCTTATCGACTCATAATTTTAAAGACTTCTATTGGTTGATTGACCCTCCTCTTCGACTGCACCTTCGATCACCCTTCTACCTCTACCCTTGCTACACTCCACTCCTCTTAATCCCAGCCCCTAGCTCGGGTCCAAACCCTGACTCCTCAATCCCCTACCTTGTGATGTCTTCCCCAAATGAAAGGCACGATACAAATGTAATTTATTTTTATTTGTTGTTATCTCCTCTCAATCTTCTCTGTTCCAGTGAGAATAGGCCCACTTCCTCTGGTCTCTGCTAAAACGACTGGTCCCCGGTATCATCCTAATAAATGTTCTCTTCTTCCTCAGTACCCTGATATTATTCCTTAAGTGGGTGACCAAAACTGGATACAATAATCTAACTGTGGACTGACTAATGATTAATACAAGTTAAACATTATCTGTTTTGTTTTATATTCTATACACCTATTTATAAAACCTATGTTCCCATTAGTTTTCTTCACAGCTTTGTCCCCTTGCTTTCCCATCTTTAAAGATTTATGTAAATGAGTCCTGTAGTGTGTACAGGGCGAAATATTATGCAAGTTTCCTTATTCCACATGCCTCAGTTTATTTAACAGTAAATAGGGAGCTAGTTAGTAATCAATTGATGGATCGCTTTTCCGGGAGTAATAATTCCTTCAAATAAATAAATACATTTGGATTATTATTATTGCTCATTCAATCCACGATTGTTGTGGGACGCTGCTGTACGCAATTGGCTCCCATGTTTCGCCCACAAAATATACAGTCAATTTGCATTATGTTATTTTCTGTGAAGTGCTTTGAGACGTCTTGAAGACGTGATAAGGCGCAATATCAAATGCAAGGATTATTAATATGTGCTTTAACCACCTAAGTTTCTCTACTTTTCTCCCTATTTTAAAATTTTATAATTTAGCACAGATCTCTTTTCTTCCTCCCAAAACATATAACCTCAAATTTTTCTGTGTTCAATTTCTGCCATATCTGCTCAGTCTACTAGTCTACCTATCAATTGCTGAATAATCTGTTCAAGAATTATTCCATGGACTTCAGTGAGTGTACAATGTCAAATGCATTCCATAATGTATGATGTTTCCAATGGAATTCTCCCTTGGTTCTACCACAGGGCGGACTGCATAGCATTGTCAATAAATTCGGAATAACTATGTTATTACACCCCCACCACCTTTGGCCCCCACCGACTATGGCCCCCACCCCTCCCGAATCCAACCCCCAGCTCCGGTGCAAGTACTTGACTATCCATCCCCTTGGGATACTCTCCCGAAGTAAAAGGTGCTATATAAATGAAAGTTGTTGTTGTTTATTCTTGTTGTTATATGGGCTGTTGTTTTTACATCATGCAGTGTGTATGACATTTTTCCTTTTCTGGATGCCAGCCCTCTCTTGATATGTGGGGGAGCTGATGCGGTCAGCATGGATTAATTGGTAACTCTCTTGCCTCAGGGTTCAAATGTTGTGAGGTCAAGTGCCACTTTGAAACTTTGAGCTAACAATAATGGTTGACATTCCAGTGCGGTACTGAAGATCGCTGCGTTTTACAGAGGTACTGCGCTTCGGCTGAGGTACTAGAAGGATCCTTGGCCCTCTTCTTTTCCTTATCTGTATGCTCCCTCTGGGCGATGTCATCAGCAGACACAGAGTAAACATCCACATGTATGCGGATGACACACAAATCTACTTTGCCTCCTCCAGTACCAAATCCAGGTCTGCCGATGTTCTATCAGCTTGTCTGACAGACATCAGGGTCTCGACTCCTTAACCTCCCTGGGCTCTCCCTCAGACTCTCCAAATCAGTACGCAATCTCGGCGCTCAATTGTCCTTCCTCCCCCACGTCCAGTCCCTGACCAGGACCACCCACCTTCCTCCACCTCCACCACATTGCCCGCCTCCGACCGTACCTTAACCCAAATGCAGCCGAAACCCTTGTGCATGCGATTGTCACCTCCCGCCTCGATTACTGCAACGCACTCCTCGCCGGTCTCCCCAACTCCATTATTCAAAAGATCCAGCTCATTCACAACTCTGTCGCCCACGTACTAACCCGGACCAAACTCATACCCCTATCTCACCAGTTCTGACCAGACTCCACTGGCTCTCCATCACCCAATGGATCAACTTCAAGATCCTCGCACTCGTGTTTAAATCCCTTCACTCTCTGGCACCTCCCTACCTCTCTGACCTCCTCACTCCCCAGTCCACCACCTGGCACCTCCGCTCGACTGGCACCGGCCTCCTGCTCGTTCCTCACACCCTCCGCTCCACCATCGGAGGTCGCACTTTTAGCCACTACTCCCCAAAACTCTAGAACACTTTCCCTTCTCCCTCAATCCCTCTGCCTTGCCTCTCTCCCTTTTTTCAAGTCCTCTTCCTCTTCGACCGTGTTACAGCCACCTCCCCCCCCCCCACCCGACCGGCTTGGGGTCAGGCTCCGCCACTGTTAAGCGCTCTGAGACACTACCCTGTGTGAAGTATAAGTGCAAGTTGCTGTTGTTTATCCTGTTCAGTTTCCTTTTAAGATCTCCGATCATAGAGGAAGTTCAGAATCATAATAATCCTTGTGTTTGGGTTTGGTATAGCATCTCATGTATAGCATCTCAGAGCGATTCACAGGATTTTACTATGTGAAGTGACTAGATAGAAATGCAGCCTAATCGTTCACAGAAGTGTCCTACAAACAGCCATGTAATGAGTGACCAATTTCATTTTGAGGGATTGTTGGCCAGGACACCGTGAGAAACTTCCTTCTCTTTTTGAGTAGTGTCATTGGATTTTTAATGTCCACCTGAACAGGCAGATGAGACCTCTGGTTTTTTAAACGTCTCATCTGAAAGGTGACATCTCTATCAGTGTAACACAGGCCCAGGACCACATTGGGTTGTCAGCCTAGACTATTGCAGTCCTGAAGTGTGGCATGAACCTACAAACTTCTACCTCAGACTTGGTATCACTGGATACGTTGATGTTTGTAATACATAATAATAATAATATTTGCTTTTGATATAGTACCTTATCACACCATCGAGATGTCTCAAAGAGCTTCATAGAATATACTGTAAAGTGAATTGACTCTATTTTGTGGGTGAAACACAGCAGCCAATTGAGCACAGCAGTGTCCCACAAACAGTCATGAATTAAGTGACCAATTTTCATTTTTTTTTTGAAGGAATTATTACCCCCAGAAAAGCGATCCGCCGATTGACTAACAACAGGTTCCTACTTAGTGATAGGTAAACAGAGGCGAGTGGAGTAAGGAAACTTGCCCAAGGTTTCACCGTGCCGGGAGTAGAACCCAGGTCTCTCTTGCGAGGCGAGTGCTCTATCCACTGAGCTACAGTACTACATATGTGAATATGTGAACTACTGTAACTCCCATTTTGTTAATATTTTGCTGGTTGTTTTTCAGCCTGGTCCAGCTGCAAGTTCAACAAATGTTGGTGTCTCTGGCCGCTCGCCCAGTAAAGCTGTGGCTCAGCGAGCTCCTGGAGGCACAGTCAGACAGAGGTGAGTCATTGTTGCAAAAACCACATTGAAGGTCAGATGTATAAAAAGTTGAAAATCTGAAATACACAAAAAAAAAGTGGTGACCATTACATCGAGCCAATCAGAAAACAAAAAAACTGGTTAACGTCTAGCAGGATATGCTCCAAAAGCACAACAGGCAACTCTACAGCGCAAAGAGAACAGCAAGCCAAGTTACCAAGATGCTGAAGATGCCTTATTTGTAGTGAGTATTGAACTTGTACCCCTTCTCGCTTTTCTATGGTGGATGTTAAAGATCCCGTGACGTTTACTAAAATAAGGGAGTTTCTCCTGGTATCTTGGCCAAGAATCATCCAGATGAATTAGCTGTTTCGGACCTTGCTGCAGCTTGTGTGTGCAAAAACAGTCACTAACCTTGATAGTAATTATTTGTGAACCATTTAGGAACAGTTCAGCGGGATCAGGCCCTGCAAGCTCTTCCTTCTGATTTGCTTTGGTTATTCGGTTGGTTCTGTGTTTAATTCGGACTCACTTAAACCCACTGAACCAATGTGCAATCTTGGTCACTGGATGGAAGCTCGGTTCCCTTTTTTCCCCCTCACATCTGGTCCCTGGATTATTCACCTCCACTACATTGCCGTTTTCCACCCTAATCCAGGTCATTGTTATCTTCCGTCTGGACTTTTGAAATGTCTGATCTCCCAACATATCCAACTGCCCCCTGCATCTTCACCCACACCAAATTCCGCACACCCATCACCTCAGTCAATAACAACAACAACAACGGCGTCTCAGAGTGCAGTCCTCTCCAGCCCTCACTGTCTATCTTTCAGCTGATCGATTTCAAGATCCTCACCCTTATCCAAATATCCCTTCATGCCTCCCTATAGCTCTAATCTTCTTACCCCACTCCCCTCCACTCAGCTAACTTGGGATTACTGCAGTTCCGTACTCCTCTATGTTGTCCTCTCTATATCTGTCTAAGTCCCACCTTAAAACCTACTAATTGGATCGAAACCCCAGCCCCCCCTCGGCTCAGTGTCCAATCTTGCTTTGTAAAACCCTCAAAGACGTTATACAACATGAAGGCAAGATGAAGATGTTGTTGAAAATCCACTCTGGTATTTGATGTACAGTATGGATACTGTAAAGCTTGTATTGAATTACATAGAATGATGTGGCATAGAAACAATCCGTTCAGTCCCAGTGTTTAAACTATACACAATCCAATTATATGTCTCTATTCCCTTCTCCCTCATGTATACATCAAGTTTCTTCTTAAATATGTTGATGCTCTTTGTTTTAACTGCAGCTTCCATCAGTAAGTCCCACATTCTCACCACCCTCTGCGTGAAGAGCTTTCTTCTAAACCCTGTATTTGAGTTACAGTGTATCCTATGAAGCTCTTTGAGACGTTTCAACAATATGAAAAGGCGCTATATCAAATGGAAGGATTATTATTATTAGATCTACTACAAGCTATCATATTTATGCCCCGTTTTTTGTGACTCACAAATAAGTGAAAACAGCTTATCAAGCTCCAACCTGTCCAATCTTTCTTGATGGCTGAATTCACTCATCCTTGGTAACATGCTTGTAAATCTACACTGCACTCTCCAATACTACAATATTCTTCCTGTAATATAGCTAGAAATGTACACAGTACTTCACAAGCAGTCTAACCAAGGTTTTTCTGAATATACATTTAACATTTCTTTCCTATTTTTATACTCTATTCCTCTGCACATAAAATCATTGTTTATTTGCATTATTTATAGCCTTGTCACCTGTGCTGCTGCTTTGAATGCTGTGAATCTGAACCTCTAGGTCACTTTGTTCCTAAGCCCCATTAGCTTTCTACCATTCAGGGTATAGTTGACTTCTTTAATCTTCCTACAAAAGTCAAACGCGTTGCATATGCCTACATTAAATTCCATCTGTCACCTATCCACCCATTCTGCAACCCGGGTTATGTTTTTCAGCATCGCTTTGCAATCAGTATCAATATTTACCCAACCTGTGTTTAAAGCAATGACATAATTTAGCATTTTCAAGTCTGAGATTGGAGAATTTTCATCATTCCTGTTGAGGATATATATCATATTTTTCAAAATAAATCTGCTTCCCCAGTTTGTCCTTGATTGTCATGTCACCAATGCTGCAAGTCGCCACTAGGAGGTGTATTGAATAGCCTTGCAACAACTTGCCTTGTCCTCTCCACACACAGCTTTCAATCTCTACTTGGGAACTCACCAAAGTGAAGGATCAATACACTGCCCCAGTTCTAGTGTATTGCTGCAATTCTGTCACCCATAACTGTTTAATATTTGCTTCACAAGCAAGCACTTCGGACTTGTATTTATCAGATTGTTTTTACTTGACTTATTTTGGAGTCTGATGGGCCAAGGTAAACTGGTGGGAGCTTTGACAAGTTCAGGCACTAACTCATAAGTAAAAAAAATGTCATGTGTGTTCATAGAGTAATTAGATTGAAGGGCGGATTCAGTAATCTTCCACCGCTGTTAGCTTTATCTGGAAATCTAGGAATGTTGCACTTTGTAGTTGATCCAAAGTGCAAGTGATTTGGAAAGTGGATGTGACATGAACATCGTAATTTACTGATAAATGGAACTATCCCTGGAAGTAATGTTTGTATATGTATCAGGATTGGTGTTTCTTTATTTCACTAATGGACTTGCCAGATGGAGTGCACTCATCTTTTCTTGTGCGTTCCTAAGTACCTCCCAACAGTGATGTATTGAACCTCACCAAAATGCTTGGATGTGCATGGGAATGTACAAGGCAGGAAAAAACCATGGTGATCATGTGGCTGGACTCAAAAGTTTTGTAAACAAAGTCTGCATTACATTGTTTGTCGTATCCCTCAATCAATTCTTTTGCCAAATTGCTATGAATCTATTGACTCCATCTCCCAAGGTAGCAAATTACACATATTCGTCATTTTCTCTGTAAAGTAATTGAATCTAAACTGTCTGATGACCTTCCCTCTTCTCATTTCACGCCTCAGTACAGGAATAGTGAAGACTTAATCACTGGAATGCATGTGACTGGAGACTTCACGTAGTGACTAGTGAATGAGTGACTACAGTTTATCTAAATGAATCTGTGATCATTTTAATATAAATATTTTGATCAAGTATATTTCTGCACAGTTCATTGCCTACAAAAACATAGTCACAAAACTTGACAGCAATTGCCTGTGAACTGCTTCAACATTAAGAACATAAGAAATGCTAGACGAAAAAAGACCAAGGTCCATCTAGTTCGCCTACTACCTTCCTGGCGGACGCATGCTCATGTGTCCCAATCTACCTATGTACTATATTCGCATTTTGCCGACAAATATACAGTCAATTCGCTTTACAGTCTATTCTGTGAAGTGCTTTGAGACGTCTAGAAGATCTGAAAAGCGCTGTATCAAATGCAAGGATTATTATTATATCCCATATTATATCGTACATTATAAGCATGATATCAGATCCAGGGGTTATTATGCAATGGATAAAGACTTCCTCTGTATCTTTATCTTGTGCTCCTGTATAGATTATTATAATAACTGATCGTGCATTCTCCCATGTTATTGTAAAAGGGCACAATATTAATCATACAGCGGGGTAACATTGCAATCTCATTTAGGTATTCAGGTTATTTGACCTTTGGGTGTTTTGGTTTTACCTCCTCTGAAGCCCACAATTAGATTGTCTTGTACTTGTTCCCTTGCACATAGTAATCTGATTGCACTTATTAACCCACTGAATATTGACAATCCATATTACTTCACATTTGCAGAAAATGTAGTCATCAATGTTCAGTGCAAACCTCTTGTAGGATTGTGGTACAGTAATAGCACACTAGTTAGTCAATCTTCCTTGAAATCTTGTATTTAAAAAGCATGCTGACGAGGTATTATTTTCCTTTAGATTTTAATTTCAAAACGGCGTTCTAATTGCAAATTCAGGACAAATGTGATGCTGGAAAACACCACCCTGCGTGAGGATGCTTTATAAATACAAGTTATTGTTGTACAGGATCTGACCGTAAACCCTGAATGGTTGAGCAGTGTTAACCACAGTATTTTTGTACTAATATGAAGGGTGAAATTTAGGGGATGAGGTCATTTCCTTGAAAATATGTTTAACTGCTCAAATTCTGGGTTGGTAACAAAAATCCAATGGCAGCATTATTTATTCTCTTGACCATTCTAGAAGATCTGTGAAGAAATAATTTTTTTAAAAGGAAAAATCATGTCAAAATTACTGGAGTCTTGAGCAGAAGGGAAAGTTCCTTCTGACATATTGTAAAATCGAATGAATAATTGATACAGTGCAACCTTGTTATGTATTTCACTATAATAATAATCCTTGTACTTGATATATGCCTTATAACAAGATGTCTAAAAAGCGTTTCACAGGATATTACTATAAAAGACATGACTATTTTGTGGGCGAACAATTGAGTACAACGTAGGGCAAATTTGCTAATAGTATGATAGCCTCTGGACTCCATTCACCGCACTCAGGAGCCGTTGGCTGCTCACTTCCTTTGTGAAGGCCGGCTCTTTGCGCTAAAATGGCTGATTTCTGAGTCATTGGGTCACTATCGATACTATTTCCTGCTTTGCTGATGTAGGCAAAGTGACCTCACTAGTGACCTGGTGATGGGAAGACCAGGAAGTCAGCCATTTCTAGCTTCCCACAGTTCCCGGTCATCCAGTCTCCGACATCATTACTTGCTGCTGGTATAGAGCGGAGTTGAAATAAGTGGATTACAATAATCTGGTATTGAGTAGGTTACAATCGAATGTCAAAAAAAAAAAAAAAATCGCCTGTCAAGTGGAGTTGAATTGGGTAGATTATTATCAATCTGTTGTAGAGAGGAGTTGATTTGGGTTTTAATGATCTGGCTGTGTCTAACTTTTTCTCTTTGTTCCTCTGTGTCACAGGAAGGCCGCCAGCAGTGCTGTAAGCCGTGCTGGTCGAACCACATCAGCGGGCACTGGGGGCATGTGGAGGTTCTACACCGAGGATTCTCCTGGGCTCAAAGTGTAAGTCCAGCAACAGAATGTTTTATACTTCTACCCACATCATCAATTGTTGCTGTAAAACTCCAAGTCTTCTGATGGACATAGCTTTTTATACAGGAAACGCCTGGCAATTCGGCACTCCAAGGGAAAAGGGTTATCTGGAGTGGTGCATTAGGCCTATGCATAAATACGTAAATAAATGTGGCCAGGATATTGATAGCATGATGGCTTAAGTGGTAGTGACAAGTTAAAACAGGGTCGAGTCATTAGGGGATTACTGTATTTTGTATTTGTCTCATTGCCATATTGACTTCCATTTGTTAGTAAATAAATCTTGGTAACTTTATAAAGAATTCTTAGTATATAATAGCATTGGTGCTCATCATTTCTGTTGTGGCATGTAGCAAATATTGACCTCCCAGTTCTGACTGATCAGCATTTCCAATCAGCATTTGTCTTTCTGTTCAGAAGTGAAACTCTTGAGTTGAGAAGCAGCCACCACTTTCAATAAAAAATGTTTATTGATTGGATTTGACATTTTTCTTTGTTTGAACAAATGGAAGAGCGTTGAGTAACTGTGCCCGTGTTAGTTGTGCTCTTTCAAATGGTATAAATTGCGTTACAGCATTTATACAGAATTTCTATTTTGCTTCATTCATACGACCCAAATGTAAACTTACTGAGGATATATCAGAGCAGAGGGAGTGAGAATTTGGTGTGAGCAAAGCCTAAGGTGAGTTGGGTAATGGGTTCAGTGTTGAGCAGGGTTAAGGCATACCTAGCAGACTCTGAGTCGAGGTCAGCGATGAATGGATTTCTGTCTGAGGCAGTGTGATTCTTTATTTCAAACCTTCCAAGGCTAAAACCGCCTGTATTCCTGATCAGGATTACAATAAGGCTTTTCAGTGTCTCAACCACAGAGAAGTGATGGATTAGCAGGATCTCGGGTCAGAATGTAAGTGAACCAGCTTCAGTGCTGAACACAGCATTAATAAAGCACTGTTGAGATATGCTGATTTAAATGCGTTGTGATACAGTTTAAGTTTAGGTACACTGCAGAGAAAGGGAAACCTTTTAGACAACATCAGGGTTTAGCTGAGAGTGGGGCTGAGTGATCAAAATATTCCTTATGCGCAAATTTTTTGATTTCCAGTCATAATTATTTTCTCACGAGATGAATGCTATATACTCATTGACTTTTTGCAAGAAAGGTTTATTCAATTTGACCTTTATTGATCTTCAAATCTGACATATTCCATTTGGAAAGTTCCATGTGGGAAGGAAAGATTTTTATATTTGTTTTCTAACATTTAATACTACTTTGCCGTTTTGGGGCGAAGGAATATAGCTCTCATGGTATATCGATGAAGCAGTAATGAATATAGGCCATGGTAAAAGGTCTGACCTATAGAGATCTGCATATATTGCTACAGAATAGCCCCAGTAGGAGTTTCCAATGTTAGAATGGCATAATTAAAGTACAGGAAAGGTCAGATCAATTAAACGTGAGTTGTAAAACCCAAATCTGCAGGAGAATTAAACGCCATTACTGCTTTGTATGTAAACAAATCAATTGCTGTATTAAATCTTCAGCTCAGGACACATAAAATGCAATGATGCTTTGAGTTTGCAAATGGAATAGCAACCAGAAGCATAACATTAAAGGGAAAACAACTCAACATTTGGGTTTGAGAGCCGCCCACTCACTTAGTTATCTGAAGTGCATCATCCCAGTGCAGTTTATCGTGTGTAATCTTTCTGTGCAAGTAACCTGGTAGGGAATCACCACTGTTGCTACATAGCTCATACTCCAAAGCTTGGGATTTTGTATGGTCTTTGTATTAGTATTTGGTTGTAACAGATTTTTCATTTCAGATTTTCATATGTGGTATGTTGCCACATATGAAAATGTTATACTTTTCCTTTCCTCTCCATCTCCTATGACTCTTTATACCCTCTACTGGGGTATAAGGAGTCCACAAATCCAATGCCCTCTGGTATCTCACCCAAAAGGCCATTATTTATGTGTGAGCCTTTATAGTTAGCAGTGTGGTCAGCCACAGAAACATCGCACCCAAGCCCGACACTGTTCTCGCTTGATATCCACACACATGCCTTTTAGCAGTATTCTTTGGATACTAATTGAAAGAGCGCACACTGGATGATATTCCCCTCCCTAACCCAAAGACTAGGGCCAATTGTAGCACACTGACCGTTGAGATCACCAAACTCAGCACACGTTTGATCCTGCTATTTTATGATCTGTATGACGTAGTGCATTCTGGGTCATCAGAGGAAGGACGAGATCGTTTATGTACAAAAGTACTCGCTATTTATATTGAAAAACATGAAATGTGTTTCCCTGCAATAGCCTTTCCTCTCCACACATATTCATAATTGCCGTCTAGACTGGGAAATTGGCATTAATTTGGATCAGAATAACTTTACTAGAAAATACGTTCAGTGCTCTTGTTTGCTCATCTTTTTTGCTTTCTTCCCCCGACCCCCTACCCCACGCACGCACACATATATTTATGTAATCAATGATAGGTGACTAAGATTTTGACTTGTGAACTTTGGGCAGTGTCTGATGAGTCTTCCAGTCTAATTCCAATCAGAAATTCATGCAGCTAATTTAAAAGACCTCAGAAGTTTTTTAAGTTTTTATTCCAGACTCAATGATTCCTATCATTTCTCTGATGTGACTGGTGTGGAATTTCAGCTGTTGAATTAATGGAAGGTGTTGAGTTACGTTTTGGTTTGCATCAAAAGACCAGTGTCGTTCTGAAGTTAGTTTAAAAAATGACTCCAGTTGAGCACATTTTGACAGCTTCGGATTCTGAGAGCAAAGTCTGTCATAGAAAATCTGCTTCTATTTATACTCATCTTCACCCAAAAAGTAATGGCTTCTCATTCAGTACATTATACACTACAGGTCTACTTAAGGCACTTCTTTTTTGCGCTGGTTGGGTTATAACACAATAGCACTTTGCACGTGGGTTTATTCAAGGGATATCATCTTCTCTGAAAGGCAAAATATGTATGGTTATATAAAATGTCTCCCCAGTGACAAGCCAGGTCCCTTTAATTTTGTTTGAACTTGAACACCCCCTTCTTGGCGTTCATCGGCTGCGATGGTTGGATTTCACTGTACATGTATACAGCCAGTGGACTGACTATCTGCAAGTCAGCCACATCGGGCCGGCCTTCAGCCTCTCTGAACTCCATCCCACAGTCCCTTCGCCTTGCTCCCTCCCTTGCCTCCTTCAAAGCACGTCTCAAGACCCTTCTCTTCGACCATGCCTTTGGTCACTCTCGTATGCCTGCCGTCCACCCTCCCCGATCCCGACCCCCAACTCAGGTCCAAAGCCCTGACTGTCCAGCGCCTTGAAACATCCTCCCGATGCGAAAGGTGCTATACAAATATAATTTTGTTGTTGTTGTTCTCCCTTGCTCAATGTCCAATCCCACCATTGTGTAGTGCTCCTTGACTGTCCTGCGTGAAGGGTGCTGTATAAATGCAAGTTGTTGTAGTTTTACATTTGTCTAGAGAGTTGAATGTTTTTTAACTGAATATTCTAATGTGCATAAACCATATTTAAAAGCGAGACTGCCTGCTGATTAAATATCTGTTGGTCAAGAGACTAAGAGGCAATTGTCTTACCCACTATCCTTATTCTTTGAAATCAAACCTAATGTGTAGTGCATTGAGCGGACTAGGGTTGATTTTAATTAAATGTGCAGGATTCAATGCTTGTAAAATAAAGTTCCATAAACATTTTGCGATCTGCTGATGGCTGAATTGAAAGTAACTGGAGTTGCTATTTCTTGTTTCTCAAACTGTGCATCAGTGGTTAGTAAGGGATGTGACTGCTAAATGTAGAGTCCTGAGTGCTGCAAAAGGTGAAAGGAGATTAAGCAGGATGCTGTGCAAACTGAAATTTAGATTCCAGACTGTCAGACAAACAGAAAAAAACGAAACCTTCACTGTAATGACTCCCACATTTAGTGACCTTTCAGATTTTCTCTTTTATCTCTATTTTTAAAAAAGGCACATCTTTTGCAGTGGTGCTAACCTAAAGTTTTAACTGATTAGATAAGATTTTCTATGATTAGATCGTGAAAATCTCATCCCACGCCATTTTGTTATATTGTAAGAATCTTTTTTTGGAGGGGTGGGGAGGTTGGTCTAAATAAGTGGGGGTTTAAATAAGTAAGGTTAAAGATTGTTTGAACCTCCTCTCAGTATGAACAGCATTCGGTTTGATTTCTGTAGAGCAGTTGAAGCAAGGGGTTCAGTAACAGTCTCCACTGGCCCACCATCCCCCAGCAGATTGAATTCAAGATCCTTGTCCTTGCTTTCAAATCCCTCCATGGTCTTGCTCTGTGACCTCCTACAACCCTAGGAGGCTTGGCCATGAAGCCGACCAATGTTCACTGAGTGAAGGGAGAGGCTGGGCTCAGTGAACACTGACCAGCCTCATGTCCGCTGTCCTATCTTTTCCACTAATGGTGGGCAAGCTTTCAGCCATTCTGCCCTGCTCTTTGTAACTTCAACCTGGAATCCCTCCCTCTCCAGTTTCAAATATTTTTTAATCTAAGCTTTTGTTTATCTTTCTCTCTCAACCCCCCCTGCACCCACCCTTTCAGCTACAGGCTGTTATTGTATTAACAGTATTATTATTAAGCTGGAGCCCAGTCAGTTGTGTGAAGCACTTGGAGAAGTCCTCTCGACATGAAAGATGCTATATAGATGTTAATTGTATCATACTGATAACATTTCCCACGTGTAACCAGAGGGGAATTGATAAAAGAGGATTTTTAATTCCTTTATACCATTGGGAGAAAAATTCCACTGAGTCCAAATTTACTCTTATTGGCGAATTAAATTTTATACCTTAAAATCAGTTTTATGTAGTTCTTAAACAAACTTGCAGAAAAACAGATTCAAAATTAAGGTTGTTTTTAAGAATTAAGTTGAGGACACTGAAATTCTGAATAAATAGAGTAAATCAGACATGGGTAGCATTTCTGCCTGTATATTAAGATACATTTAGACCACCCTCCCCCACCCCCTCCAAAAAAAAGTCAGTCGCTGGCTGTACATCCAACTTCAAGATCCTTACCCTTGTATTCAAGTCCCTCCACTCCTCTGCACCTCCCTACCTCTCTGACCTCTCACCTCAAAACAGTACCCTTTGCCTTCGTTCCTCCGGGTCTGGCCTCCTCCGAGTCCTCCGCTCCACCCTCAGCGGCCGTGCCTTCAGCCACTATGCTCCGAGGCTCTGGAATTCCCTTCCTCACTCCCTTCATCTCTCTTCCTATTTTCAGGTCCCTGCTGAAGACTTTTCTTTTCGACCGCGCCTTTGATCACCTTCCTCCTCATCCCCCTGGCTCGGCCGCAGGACCCGTTACTGTGAAGCGCTCTGAGACGCCATCTGGCGTGGAGAGTGCTATATAAATCCAAGTTGTTGTTGTTGTACACATGGGCAGTGAAATCCGACTATCACGATCCTGTGTACCCATAACAGGCTTCCTCACAGCATATACATTATGTAACCTGCTTGCATTAGTCGGTTTTGTTATGTTATGTATCATGGCAGTACACAGCCTACCTTACTAGTGCAAGCAGGATAGCAATATTGTACATCTATAGAACAATTATGGATAGCTTTCAGACTCATTCAAAGCCTTCCACTGAGCTGGTGGCTCTTGTATAAGGCAGAGAGCATTGCAAGAACCTGAGCATCAATGAGGTGGCCATATGGTTCCTAGATAACAAAGTCCAAGTAACATCTAGAGCATCTACCACCTACACACTTAGTCTTGTTGACTCATAGGATAGAGAAGTGATAAATGAAGCAAGCCTGATTGAATCATTAAACAAAATAACATGGGCACAATCGACAGAATGTAGCTCAGTAGTGCTCAAGTGCTCAAGTGCTCAATGAGCACTTGCCTCGCAAGCGAGAGACCTCAGTTTGATTCCCGGCAGAGCGAAATATTGGGCAAGTTTTTGTTTACCTAGCAGCAAGTAGGAACCCGGTTGTTAGTTGATTGGCGGATCGCTTTTCCAGGGTAATAATTCCTTCATGAGTGTTTGTGGGGCACTGCTGGTCGCAATTGGCTACTGCATTTCGCCCACAAAATATATAGTCAATTTACTATACAGTATATTCTGTGAAGCGCTTTGAGATGCTTCGAAGATGTGATAAGCGCTATATCAAATGCAAGGATTATTATTATTAGAGAGAGCTAGTTCCAGTGTGTATCCACTCTTGTCTTAAGGTTTTAAGGTTTACCCTTCATGGGGTATACTATAAAGCGTAGAGACTGAACATTTTGTAATGGCAACAACAACTTGCATTTATATAGCGCCCTTCACGCGGGATAGTGTCCTGGAGCGCTTATAGCAGTCAATTAGCACACAGCAGTGCCCCACAAACAGCCATGGAGTAAATGACCGACCGATTTTATTTCGGGGATTGTTGGCCAGGACACTTCCTTCTCATTTTGAAAACATTACACAAGTTCCAGCATGTGTCTGCTGCAAATACCACACACGTTTCCCCTTCTTGAAACCACCTTTGAGTTAATCCAGAAGCCTTGGTTGACAGGATTCTCCTGCTAACAGTTGGATGGTTTGGTTGTGTGCAGGATAGTAGAAAGGGATTCTAGGGTCTTATCATCAGCCCTCCTTGAAGGTCAGTCTGTGGAGTGGGTATGTCAGCAGCAGATGAGTTGATCAGCTTTGACTGTATTTCAGAATATATGCACACATTGATCTGTAGCTTTCAATTCTGTGTGCTTATGGCACTCCTGGGAAATGAAACAGGAACTTCATGTCAAACTCCATTCTTCATCTAATAACTGTAGTGGGACTCCGGAGTTCAGGGAGAATGTTTTCCTATCACTGAACAATGATGCTGATATTCAGCCACTGTGATTTTATGATTTTTGAGATGTTAACTCTTTACTAGAAAAGAATATCTGAATAATTAGCAGCTTTCAGGACTCACATTAGTCCTTGTTTGGAATAATTTTAATGTGGCTGAGAATTTACATGTAGTTCCATTGATGTGCAAAGGAAGTAACAGAGACACCCGTTGACCCAGATATCAGAATCTCTGCCCTAAAGGTGGTTGGCCAGGATATTGGGAGAAACTCCCTTCTCCTTGAATAGCATTATAGGATTTTAACTGCATAAGAAGACAGGACCTTAGTTCAATATATCTGAAGTGAATAATTTGAGAAACGATGCCCTGGCTGAGTTTCTGGCTGAGATAAAAAGAAATGAGACCAAGTTTGTACGAGTTTTTGCTTTCCAGCATTGGTGAATAAGCTTCTGCAGCCAGTGGCTTCTCATGCTGTACCACTAGGTGTCTCTTTTGTGCCTTGTATCAGTATATTGACGTTGTAGAATGAAGACTATAAAAGCAAGCAGTAGCTTGTGTACTGTTATTGACTTTTGTTTTATTCTTCCTCCTCAGTGGGCCAGTTCCTGTGCTGGTTATGAGCCTATTGTTCATCGCTTCAGTATTCATGCTGCACATCTGGGGCAAGTATACCCGCTCATAAACAAGACATCAGTGACTTTCCCTCCTGCCAACTTAACCTATTCATCTTGGACCAAATGCCAGTCTTTATGTGAACTAGTTTCTGATGCATTTTGAAACATCGCTTTTTACTCATAAAGAATCAAATGAAAATCCCCAATGGGAATGGTTCCAGGGGCTCAGCCGTTCGTTCTCCAACTACCAAGAGGAGAGGAGCAGGTTTAAGATCGTCTTCACTACAAGTCTCTTTCGTATCTTTATTTTTCATCATCGTTTTTTGTAAAACAATCACAAGTGTTTTGCAATAAAAAATGAATGCAGATTTCAATATACAGTTTGTTTTTATCGTATTCTTGGACGAACGTTTGCCGGTCTAAATTTTTTAATGCTTTAATAACGCTTCTTATGTTTTCAAAAACAAGACACTTCATTATCCACTGAGCAAATGCAGGCGACACACAGGTACCAAACCAATCAGGATAAAATATTGCTTCTGCATTCAAAAGGTTGGATCACTTTGGTATAACTAATATAGATAACACTATAGTAATCTTTATGTGTATTTCCTACATACTGTTGATCAGCTCAAAAGACTCCAATGGTTTTTAGTTAAAATCAGCAACTTCCCCTTTTGTTACTATAAACCACTGCCACCTCCCCGTGGGAATCAATCAGTCATCATCCTACAGTTCACATTGCTCTCTAAATGCTGATCAGTAATTTCTATTAGTGCAGTACACGCATTGCCTTTGCCCTTATTCAGTGCAAGTTCATCTCCACATGCAAAGGTGCTGTTTAATATCAAAAAAATCTTGTGCTGTTTATCTTTAATCAGATCTATCTTGATCACGAATGGATTGGAGGTGCCATTGACATTTTTTGCTAATCGTTTGATCATGTATTTCCTAGAATTTTATTTCACCTTTCATCTGCAGATACTATACATTTGCTCTGGCCCTATTATCCAGCCAAATGTTTAAATCAAAGCAAAAGGTGAGTTTTCAGTTATAAATTGTATGTTTTCACAAAGAAAATGTAAACATTTAAGTCTGGCAACAAGTAGGTAAATTTGGCATGTTGCTGTAGTATTAACAAGCACACTCCCTGAATTGTGCTTCAATCCCTTCTGGAATAAAGAGGAAAACAGTGTCATTACTGAAAAAAAAATCATCATTATATAATTGCTATTAGCAGCGCCTGTCTCTAAAGTCATCAAGCTCTATCTGAGTTTTATGTTTGAGATTTGAAAGCCATATAGAGATTTTTTGGTAGGGCAAACAGAAAACAACAACTTGCACTTATATAGCGCCCTCCACGCAGGGTAGCGTCACAGAGCAAATGACAGTGGCAGAGCCTGACTCCGAGCCGAGGGGTGAGAGGTGGGAGGTGACTGTAAGCACGGTCGTCAAGGAAGGTTTTCAGGAGGGACTTGAAAAAGAGGAGAGGGGCAAGAAGGAGGGATTGAGGGAGAGTGGTCCAGTGGGGTGTAGTGGTTGAAAGCATGACCTCCAATGGTAGGATGGTGCAAGGGACAAGCAGAGGCAGTTGAGCAGAGACGTCGGGTGGTGGATTGAGAAATGAGGTCAGAGAGGTAGGGAGGTGCCATGGAGTGAATGGATATGAACACGAGCGTGAGGATCTTGAAGGCGATCTGGTCGGTGATGGGGAGCCAGTGGAGCCTGGCCAGATCTAGTGAGGTGGGGATACAGAGTTTGGTCTGGGTAACTATGTGGGCAGCAGAGTTCTGAATGAGGAGGGGTGTGATAACAGCGGTTTTCCGGGGGAGTGGAACAGAGCCTGAGGAGAAAGACTGGTTGACCGTGTTGGTTCAGGGGTTGCTCAGAAGGCCGAGTCAGCTGAGCAAAGAGGGTAAGTAGAGGAGTGGAGTGTGAGCAGCTTGGAGAGGTAGGGAGGTGTTAGGGCTTGATTCAGTAATAAAAAGTGCATATTGTGAGGAATATTGGAGAAAGAAAGAGGAGGTTAAGTTTTTTTCTCCAGCAGGTTCTTAGAATGTGGAATGCTTGACCACAAATTTCTATTGAAGCTGAGTCCGTAACATCATCTAAAAGGAGTTGGATAAATACCTGAAGAAAAATAATATCATGCTGGAGAATGGGATTAAAGTGGATATATCCAATTAGAGAGCTGGAATCAACACTGATACGATGGCTTCTTCCTGTGCTGCCTACTTTCTGTTTCCCTTACACTGGAGTTTGTTTAAGAAATCAATTCATTTTCCAGTGTTCAAGTTCAAAAGCCTATAGTTCAGAAATACAGAAGGGACAAGAGGCTATAGCAATCTGTTAATGTAGATTTTTGGGTGTCAGTCTGGTGTCTTAACACATGCGGAAACACATCAACATGCTTGAATATTCAAATCAGACTGAGTTCCACATGTGTATACCAACCACACATGGGAATTTCCATCTGAAATGGAAACCACACTCTCTTCCTGGACGGTTGCAACCACAAAACAGGTTACTGCATTCAGTCACTGGGAGCTGAGATTCTTCACACTCAGATCTGGTTAACCCTGCAAGTCAAAGCCCTAGCGGGTAGGGTGGTCTAGCTGACCAAGCAGCAGGTTGTTTGCCAGACAGTGCTCTCAATGGCAAGCTATGCGTTTTAGCTGGGTAATATTTTTGCTCAGCCCGGAGTCTGACACATGTGAAAACCCATCCCCATGCTTAAGAGTATCCAAACCAAGCTGAGATTTCCATACATTCCACCTACAAATGGAAATCCCAGGAAAAGATGGTTGAAATGGAATGTGTACTCTCTTCGTGGAGAGACGCTTCCTGCTTACCTAATTCTGAAAAGTATGAAGCACAGGTCGGCAAGAGCCAAGGTTTGGGGACCCCAGAGTGTGCTTTGGGGTGTGCTACTGGGGTCTAACCAGCTAAAACCGAATAGCTTGCTATTGATATCACTGTCTGACAAGACATCCCGCTGGCTGTCCAGCTAGGACCATCCTACCCATTGGGGCTTTGGTTTCCAGGGTTAACAGCAGCTGAGTTGGAAGAATCTTAGCTCCCAGTGACAAAATGCAGAGTAATCTGTTTAGTGTTACAGTTTTTCAGCTTGATGTAAATCCATTGTGCTTTAATATATAAACTGGCACCAAATGTCTCTTAAGTAGCAATGGGTTTTTGGAGCTTTTCATTTAGGGGGTGACCATCATTTGTCAAGATCCTCTTGAAACTCCTGATGGAACACCTGTAAAAAAATGTTTCACCACTCATTTTGCTGGAGAAGGTAAATTTCTCACCCAGTAGTTGAAGGAGCTTAATTCCTGTACTTAATGCATGCAGGACATGCTACCATTCCCAAACAAGCAATGAAATAAATGAAACCTGATTAAAACTCAGTTCAAATGATTAAATTTAGAAACTGACTGTCTGCCTTGGCACGTGCCACCAGCTGGAGTATTAATCATTGTGAACCAAGTGAAAACACACCCACTTCCACTCATTGCATAGAGTACTGTCGTACAGGTTAGACTATGTTGGAACATCAGGCTTTATACTCTGTGGTGAATAATCAAATGCCTTTTTGATATATTCAGAAATTCTGGTCGTTTGCTGGAGTAAAAATTTGCAGCTTTTTAAATTACTTCCTAGTCTAATCTGCCCGAAAATGTAACAATCCACTGATTTGTAACAGAATCCAATTTGATTTTCAACCTCAGTATATTCAATTTGTACCATGTGGTCCTGAATTTATCAACTGTTGAGTATAAGTTGAGACTGAGCAACGCAACCAACAACAACTTGCACTTATATAGCGCCCTCCACGCAGGGTAGTGCCCTCCGAGCCAGGGGGTGGAGGGGGGAGGTGATGGTAAGCACGGTCGAAAAGGAAGGTTTTCACGCAGGACTTGAAAAAGGGGAGAGAGGGGGGCAAGGCGGGATTGAGGGAGACTGTTCCACAGTTTTGGGGCGTAGTGGTTGAAAGCATGACCTCCGATGGTGGGGCGGAGAGTGCGAGGTGCCGGGTGGTGGATTGGGGAGCGAGGAGGTCGGAGAGATAGGGAGGTGCCAGGGAGTGAATGGATTTGAACACGAGTGTGAGGATCTTGAAGCCAATCCTTTCGGTGATGGGAACCAATGGTTCCTGGCCAGAACTGGTGAGATGGGGTTATGAGTTTGGTCCAGATCAGTACGCGGAGTTCTGAATGAGCTGGATCTTTTGAGTAGTGGAGCTGGGGAGACCAGCGAGGAGTGCATTGCAGTAATCCAGGCGGGAGGTGACTAACGCATGCACGAAGGTTTTGGCTGCATTTGGGGGAAGGTACGGTCGGAGGCGGGCAATGTGGCAGAGGTGGAGGAAGGTGGTCCGGATGTGGGGGAGGAAGGACAGCTGGGGGCTGAACCGGATGCCTAGATTGTGCACTGGTTTGGAGAGTCTGAGGGAGAACCCAGGGAGGTTGAAGAGTTCAGATCCGCAGGAGTGAAGACCTTTCCGGGAGCCAAGGAGTACGGCTTCAGTCTTGTCCACATTCGACTGCAGGAAGTTTGATGTCCGCCAGACATGCTGATAGAACATTGGGGGACCTGGAGTTGGTACTGAAGGAGGCAAAGTAGATTTTGCCATGTGGAAGTTTACCCTGTGCCTGCAGATGACATCGCCCAGAGGGAGCATATAAATAATAAGAAGAATAAGAATAATCCTTTATTATAATAATAAAAATAATAATGGAAAGAAAAGGGCGAAGGATGGAGCCCTGGGGTACCCCACAGGTGACCAGACTGGCGCGGGAGGAGAAACCATTTGCTGAGATGAAATGGAGGCAGTTTGTTAAGTAGAACTCAAACCATGCGAGTGCGGTCCCACTAAGGTGGATGAGGAGAGGCGATGGAGGAGGACGGCGTGGTTGACCGTGTCGAACACGGCAGAGAGATCCAGGAGGACAAGGAGGCAGAGGGAGCCCTGGGTCACAGATAGAAAGGATGTCATTTGTGACTTTGACAAGCGCTGTCTCTGTGCTGTGGGCAGGGAGAAAACCAGACTGCAGGGGCTCGTGGAGGGAGAGGTGTGACCGAAGTTGACCAGCAACAATGCGTTCCAGGGCTTTAGCAAGGAAGACTAGGTTGGAAATGGGATGGTAGTGTGAGAGATTAGAGGGATCGAGGGTGGGTTTTTTGAAAAAGGATAACAACGGTTTTCAGGGGGATTTGAACAGAGCCTGAGGAGAGAGACTGGTTGACTGTGTCAGCCAGCAGGGGGGATAGGAGGGGGAGTTGAGTGACCAGCCTGGGTATAGACTTTGACTACACAGCTTTACAGCCTGTAATATGATTGAATTTACCTGGTCATTAAAATGATACATTTG